GGGGGGGGGGGGGGATGGGCTAAATGGGTAAGGGGCATTAAGGAATCTACTGAAATCATTGCTTCACTATATACTAATTTGGATGTAAATTTTAAAAAATCAAAAATAAAGTTAAAAAAAAGAAAATTTTGCCCCAGTGTTCATTCCTTCCTTGATTTTTTTCTTATAATGTTTTTTTTTCTAGTAAAAGTGCTGAATGCCTGTTGAATAAATACATGAAGTAAACTTAGCAATTTTTCTTACAGTTTCTGGGTTTTCTACATCTTACTTAGAACGGCCTTAATTCCAAAATTCCTTCTAAAATTTCACGTTTTCTTCAAACATGTTCATCAATTTCATTTCTTCTAAGCTTTTAATTATGGAGAATCTCAAACATACACTGTATACCGAGCAGCATACTGAACCCTCCACGTACCCATCACCCGGCGTGAACAAATGATCTACCTATGTTCAATCTGTTTCATCTACATTCTTACCTGTGGGCTCTACTGTCACACTTAAGTCATTAACCCGATGGATATTTATTTTGGCATGAAGAAAAGAATACGGATTCAATTTAGCTGTTTTCTGGACGTCTCCCCAGTTGTCCCAGTAACACTTACAGAATCCTCCATATTTTCTCTACAGCTTTGGATTTCCTATACACTAAATTCCCATATATATTTGGGTCTCTTTCTGTACTTTTAATTCTGTGCCATTCACCTAACAGTTCATGTACTACGCTGTTTTATTTACTTTAGTTTAATCATATGGCCAATACATGTCAGGGCTGGCCACTCTTCTTTCTCTTCTTTTTCCTGACTGTTCTTACTTTTTGCATATTAGTATTATAATCAGCTTCTTTAATTCATATATATACACAACTGCTGCTGTATTTTATTGGGGTGACATTAAATTCATAAGTTAACTAAGAGAAAACAGACATCTTCAAGCTGGTGCACCTTCCTATCCAAATACCCTAAGCATTTCCATTTAAGTCTTATGTTGGATCCTTTCGGTGTGTCTATTTTTTGTTGTTGTTAAATTGAGGTAGAATTTCACATAAATAAAATGCAAAGATCTTAAGGGGAGTTCAGTTCAACGGACCTGGACAACTGAATAACCCTCACTAGCATTTTGAAGTTTTCTTCTTAAAGATCTTGCACATTTCTTAAAAAATGTCTTGCAGGGTATGACTTCTTCCTCTCATAAACTTTTAACAAGAATAGTTACCTGGTTTCCAAACTCACAAAATAGGAGAAATTAGAGTTTTTATTTAAAAAAAAATTTTTTATGTTTATTTATTTTTTAATTTATTTGAGCACAAGTAGGGGAGGGACAGAGAGAGAGGGAGACACAGAATCCAAAGCAGACTCCAGGCTCTGAGCTGTCAGCACGGAGCCCGATGTGGGGCCCAAACCCAAGAACCTCGAGATCATAATCTGAGCCGAAGATGGACG